GAATGGTGTGTCATATGGTTTGTGACCTCTGACTACAGTGACCCTGTGTTCCCCACATCCTGGTGGCCATGTAGATGAGACCTGCAATACACCTCTAGGCCAACAGGACATAGCAAAGATGACATGATGCCTGTGATTCCAAGTCCATGGCCATGTTCCCAGGGTTGGAGGAGCTTCTTGGCTGGCTCTGAGGAAGAGGTAGCCATACTGGAGTCTCACACAGAACTTGAGACAGCTGAGTAAATTTCCAGTCAATTGCCAGCAAAATCACCACCATTCTTCACCTCTTCACTGTGCTAGGGTTACAGGTAGGTGCCCCATGCTTCAGTTTGTAACACAAATAATAAAAACCCAGAGAGAGATGTTAGGGTTAAAGCTGAAGATCAAATAAGTAAAACAGCCAGCCACTGGAGACCTCTCACTGCTACCAATGCTCAGACCAAAAGGGCAAACCTGTCCTCAGATTGCATTTCCAGACTGCATTTGTCTCCACCAAACACACACTGCACTGAGTTCCTGTCTCCTCCTCCTAATATTCCTCTCTCCATCCAGACATATCACTCCTGTGTCCACCTCCCTAGTGCTGGGATTAAAGGTGTGAGGGCTGAGGGCTGCACCGAGGCCTTTCCCCAAGTTTCATTTTGGCTGAAACATGTCCCATGGCTTCAAAAGGCCATAACTTTAGTAGTCACTGGTGAGGCATGTGCAGGACAAAAGGACCCCAAGTTGATCTGTGAAAGTGCACTACCCTGACGGTGACAACATGCTAGATAAAGACAACATGGCACAGGGAAGCAGGCAATGGATGCCACCACCGACCAGCCATCTGAGCTTCGGCAAGTGTATAGTCCATCACGGTAGAAAGGCACAGCAGCAGGAGCAGGAGGCGGCAGGTCATACTGTCCACAGGAAGCAGAAGAGACCAGTGCTAGCACTCAGCTCACTTTCTCCTTTTCACCCTTTCATTCGGTGTGGGACCCTTGCCCGCAAGGCCATGCTGCCATAGTGAGGATGAATCTTCCCTCTTCAGCTAAACCTCTCTAGAAACTTCCTCACAAAGGTATCCACAAGTGTGTCTCCCAACTGATTCTAAAATCAACAGGAAAGATTAACATAGAAAGTTACTATGTGTCTCTATTCTTTAATTCTCTTCCCCAAAATGTCAATAGTTATAATATCAGCTTCATAAATTCGTTATTAAAATTAATGTCTCTATCAATGCCTGCCAGAGTGGACCCTCGGTAGTATTTAAAAATACATATAGGAGTATAAGTATTACAAAAAGTATTTTTGAACTGTGTTTAAGATCTAAGCATGAAGGACTGGAGAGTGGACTACACAGTTAAAGCAGGTATTACTAGTTTTACAGAGGACCAGAATTCTCTGCACCCATTCTGGATGGCTCACAACAGCCTGTAACTCCAGCTCCAGGGAATCCATTGCCTCTGGCCTTCATGAACACTGCACTCAAACACACATACCACACGCATATACATAACTAAAAATAAGTAAAAAATAAATCTTTTAAAATGTAAGCATGAGTGTTTTTAAGTTTCATTCAGTGAAGCTCCAGTTTTTCTGTTACTGCATAGATTACAATCACTCTATCAATAAGTGCCCAATTAAATGAGCTCAATCAAGATTAAGTAATGATAAAAGCTAACTTCAAGTTACATAATGGTTTAACCTTATGTTAAACTTAAACTTAAAACACAGCCAATTCCTCAGGAGAACAGCAGCCTGCTCTAGTTACTCATTTAGCCATTCTCTTTTCAAAGGAGAAAAGCCGAGTGCTCTGTGATTGGCAGCAGTTAATATACAAGACAGAATGGAACATGCTCAGATTGAACACTACAAATTCAGTTACAATCTAGTAATTTTAAGTTTGGCAATTTTATTCAAGGATTCCAGTAATACATACATACATACATTAAATAACAGTGGGAAAGCTTATAAAATGGCAATAGTAAAAGCTGTCCCTAATCCTGGATCAGAGTTGCCTTCTGCACAAGCAACTGCAAGCACAGCTCAGTCGCCCATTTATAAGTTTATAAGTTACCAGCCGGAGCTGGAGCCACTTCTGGAAGAGACAGAGAGGGCAGGTCTCCCTAGAACATTAAGAACACAAAAAAAGAGTGGCTGCCGGGCATGAGAATACTAAGATATGGGGTGGGACTTGTGAGGGAGGTGGGTGGGAGCTGACCATGAGGATGCCTAACAAAGGGCTGTGTTCATAAAATGCTGGAAATTATGCCTTCAAAATCCAAGTAGTCACACTTGGGTAGCAGAGGCAGGTGGATCTGTGCGAGTTCAAGGCCAGCCTGGTCTACAGAACTAGTTTCAGGACAGACTCCAAAACAATACAGAGAAAACTGTCTCAAAAAAATCAACAAACAAAACAAAAAACAAAAATCAAAACCAAGTAGTCAGCCCTGAAACCATATACATGGAAACAACCCAAAACAGACTCAGCAGGTTGCATTTATATAATTGTATTTATATTTGCATATGCATGCATGTATGTATGTATGTAACAATAATAAAAGAGAGCATGGGCTTGAGTGGGGGAGGGTTGGAGGCAGAGAACATGAAAGGGTTTGGCAGGAGGAAAAAGAAGAGAGAAATTATGTAATTATATTTTAATTAAAATTAAAATAATTTTAAGAACCAAAAAAAAAAAGGGGGAGAAATTTAATTGCCTATTAAAAAACCAAAAAAAATGCTTGAAGCCAGGCATGGTGACACATACCTGAACTCCCAACACTCAGGCAGTAGATGCAGGAAGCGTGTGAGTTATAGGCCAGTGTGTGCTCACAGTGAAAACCCGTCTTTATTTAAATGAACATCCCTAAAACAAATCACATGAAAGCTGAAAACTGTCCATGAGCGAAGACAAGAAAAAGAAAACAGCTAAGCTAGCCAAGGGTGTGTCACTGATACCCTAACAAGCAGAAGGCTGCAGCAGGAGTACCAGAAAGTGGTCTCTCTGTAGGCTGCTGTGAGGTGTGGCCATCAACAGTTTTACCCAGCAGTGAACCTTATAGGCTACAATAATGACCAGAATATGGCAAGACTGATATCCTTATGGACGCAATAGTGGCATGGATGTTAGAGAAACCAACACTTCCTACTGAATTTAAGGCCTTTCCACAGGAGGAAACCAGGTACCCTGGCACAGTCATCTGGCCACAACATGAGTGAACATGACCAAAGTATTGTATACATTTATGAAATCTCAAAGAATAAACAAAAATTCATATTTAAAAGCTAAACGGTAATTCCTATCACGATGTTTATGTGTTATTAAAACTCTATGTTAACTACATTGCTTTGATCAGGCTCCTACAGCCTCAGAAAAGGTAATTTTATTTTCCTCCTTGAGCTTACAGACCCTGCTTAGGAATCAGGATATTCCTGATCCCTTTCAAGGAAGATTAACAACATGCTACATCAAGACATGCTTCATATTCATCCAGCCTTCCTTCACAGTAACCCATCATCAATAGACTCTAGAAAACTGGGAAGAGAGGGCACTGATCACCCCTCCCACCACCACCCACACCTACTTATAAGCTCAGGATCGGACACATGTATAGTCCCAACACGGCCAACTCTGTACACATCTGACACATGTACATAGTCCTGACACAGCCAGCTCTGTACTTTCTTAGCCCGGCCTTCATGTCAGCAAGAGCGCAAAAGGCTTCTACCTCACACTGGGATACGGGAGTCTCTTTCTTCAAGAGAAAATCAACAAGACACCAGGACTGGCTCTCAAAAGTACTCCTTGTAGCCCAATGCACCCACTCTCTCACTCTCAGGACCGGCCTTCATGTCACCCAGCAGGGACTCCACATTGCTGTCTCAGTACTCTAGCTTCCTCTCTTGACAAGTTCATTTCTCAGGAACAAGTTGCACTTGCAGGCACTCTCCAGCCCAAAAACCAAAAACTAACACATCATTGCTAAAGAACTTTTATTGATACAACCTGTAAACTACTAACATTCACAATGCTAGAAATCAAAAAAAAATTTAGAGATACTTATTAATTTATCCACTTAAACCTGCAGCAATTAATATAAATAACACTTTTAAGGAAGAAAACAACTACTGTTGAACAACAACAACCAAAAGATCGATCGATCATTCATTCATTCATTCATTCATTCATTCATTCATTCATTCATTCATTCATTTATGACAAGGTTTCTCTGTGTAACAGCTCTGGCTCTCCTGGAATTAGCTCTGTAGACCAGGTTGGCCTCAAACTCACTGAGATCCGACTGCCTCTGCCTCCCAAGTGCTAGGCTTAAAGGCGTGCGCCTCCATCACTAGCTACCATCTCTTAAATATTTAGGCATTAACAAGGTTTCTGATTTTCAGTCTAAGGATGGTGCTGTGCTATTGGATAGGATGGCACACATACAGGCAGCCTGGCATCTAATGTTATCCTTGAAATCCCTGCAAGGAACACAAGCAATCATGCAGAAACTCCTCAAATTTCACGTGGGAATCCTGAATAAAATTATCAAAGGTATTTCAAGATGGTGAACCCACTTTTAGAAATAGCCAAGCATTTCACATTATTAATCTCACTGAAACAATGCCCATGTCTTATTTATTTATTTATTTATCTATTTTGTTTTACTAAAGAAGCACTATGTAAGCTTCCCCTTTTGAGCATGTTATCATCATGACACTTCAGACAGTATTATGAGAAAATAAACTAAACATAATTCTTATTCAGGGCTCAGGATGTTAAGTCATTTTACAAATACAGGAAATAAGCTATGTGTAAGCCATTTCTTCTAATGTTATAGACAAGTGGACAAGGTAACTGAAATTTTTACGCTGCTCTTCATGAATAGTGAAGATATGTGCCTGTCCTCAATGTATCATGATCTGAAAACAGAGAAACAAACCCACAGCAAGAGTTCACTACTCGAGTCATGTCAAAAAGTATGAGACTGTTTTACAGAAGTAGCCATACATCTTCTTACCTCTGTTTCTGTACAATGTGAATATCCCAATTTACCTGTAATAAAATACAGAAAGTTACTTTCAGATGATTAAGGGCTTTTTAAATCACCAATAATATATATTCAAGCAAATACAGCCATCACTTCATTAAACATATTAGACATATGAAAAATAACAAGTGCTAAAGTGATTTTTTTTTTTTTTTTAATACAAAGTTGTTAGTTCTTTCAGTTACTAGGCGGGTTGCATACTCATAGTCCCAGAATTCAAGAGGCTGGAGAAAGGCGATCATTTCAAGTTCTGAGCTGGCCTGGTCTACAGAGCAAGGTCCAGGACAACTAGGACTAATGAGACTGCCACCAAAAAGAATGAAAGAATTTACTTTTTAAAGAAAAAAATCTGCACTTATGATCACAAGAGGTGGCGGGGCGGCGGGGGGGGGGGGGGGAATGTGTGTGTGTGTGTAGCCTGAAGCAAAGACAGAGGCAGGTGGATCTCTGTGAGTTCAAGGCCAGCCAGGGCTATACAGTGAGACAATGTCTCAAAAATACAAACAGAAAAAGACAGGCAGACACTGACTCTTAGACTGAGGCAGTGGTGTCTAGAGTTTTAGACCAGCAGGAATTAGAGAGTGAGGCCTTGTATCAAAACAAAACAACAAAGAAGAAAAAAGACACTCTCATATAGGCTAGTTTTGTGTGTCAACTTGACACAAGCTAGAGTCACCAGAGAGGAAGGAGCCTCAGTTGATCCAACTGTAAGGCATTTTCTCAATTAGTGATCAATGGGGGAGGGTCCAGACCATGGTAGGTGTTATCATCCTTGGGCTAGTGGTCCTGGGTTCTATAAGAAAACAGACTGAGCAAGCCATGGGAAGCAAGTCAGTAAGTAGCACCCCTCCATGGCCTCTGCATCAGTTCCTGTCTCCAGGATCCAGCCCTTCATGAGTTCCTGTCCTAACTTCCTTCAGTGATGAACAGCAATGCTGAAGTGTAAGGCAAAGAAACCCTTTCCTCCGCAACCTGCTTTTTGGTCATGGTGTTCCACTGCAGCAATAGAAACCCTAAATAAGACATCTCTATGACTCAACAACAACTGGCTATACCAACAATAGTGTTTTCTCTCATCAATGAGACACAATACCCAAGAACTTGTACACATATATTTTGTCAATTTGGAACAAAAATCATACTATGAAGATAGAAGGAACTACTTTTAAGAGTAATTTATTTAAACAAAAAAATAGATAGTAACTTTACATTTGGGAAGTAAAAACTTTAATTTTCCCATCTATGCCTTTTTTCTTACTATTATTTATTTGTATATGTGTGTACATAAACAGGTGCCATAGCACATGTGTGTTGAGAAGGCTTTCCACCATGCAGGTCCTGAGGATTGAACTCAGGTTTGGCGGCAAGCACCTTTAACTCATTTAGCCACCTTAGGGACCCCATCTGCTTTTCTCAAGCATCACTGACTGAGGCACAGACACATCTGCATAGCCTTTCCCTCCAGTACTACTATCCTATCAACTCCCACTCCTCCCAGCCCGCTACACCCACACCTATTCCACGGTAGTGGTTCTATCATGTCTGAAATGTTCAATGCTTAAAAAGGATTTACCCATCTTGCTGTTTATGCAGACATCATCAAAGAAAAGCATAAATAATCTTATCTGTATGCCACCCAATCCTTAAAATGAAAAATACAGTCGAAGCCCACAGTTTCTTAATGTCTAATGATCTTAATGTAATCCTATGTAATATACAATAGTGGCTGAAACTCAGAATAGAAAACAGGGACCTTAGGTCTTATAAAATATAAAGTACATACAAGCAATAAAAAATTGTATATACAAGACTTTTATATATAGCAAGTTGAACTTGAAAACCCAGCTCTGCACACCAAAAAATGGGGAAAAGCTCACTCTGCAAAGGCACACCAACCCATCCTGCCCAATTCAGAGGCCCTGGGAACCCTCAGGAGACTGGCTGACACTGGCTAGGACAACTATAAGAAGCTGTGAACAACTTTGTGCACCTGAAAATAATGGGAGTGCTTAAGGGATTATTATATGACATTTAAAAACATAGGTTACTGAAATCAGATTCCTTTTAATCTCACCTGATACAAAACAAAAATTACTTTTCTCTAAGAATACCAAATCTTCGTGTCATGTGCAAAACGGCACTTGGTTATCCTACACGACTGCTAAGCACCACAGGAACACAAGTAGGTTGGGAGCACAGTATTCCCAACCACCTACAAAACTCTGTCATCCAACGCCACACCCAGGCGCTGACCTAGGATCGGAAATCCTAATCACACATCATCAGAGCTAAAAGGGTGGCAATGACTGCACAGTCCATTCACTCTGCAGATGAGCCATGGGAGCCAGAGAAGTCAAATGACTGGCACATACTCAAGGGCCCACACAGCAGGTGGGAGGGCTACAGGACACTCCAGGACTTACCTAGCCTTGTCATACATACTAGCATGGTTTTATTACCTGCCCTCCATTGCTATTGCCAAAGTCAGGAGGGGAAATTACAGGCATGCCGTACTAGCATTTAAACTGCTTTCTTCAAGTGCTGGCTGCCTCTGCCTCGGAGAAACAATATTTATCCAAGGAACCCCTCTCAAACCCAAAAATCCATGATTTCACCCTTCTTTGTTTTCAATAGCTTAAACTATAGTAGGCCCTAACAAATCTTCAGATTATAATCACAGTGAATTAACTCTTTCAATCAAGTAATAATTTCATTAGGTTACATTTAAGACAGTTTTGTTTGTTTTTGTTGTTTTGTTTTTCAAGACAGGGTTTCTCTGTGTTGCCCTGGCAGTCCTAGAACTTGCTTTGTAGACAAGGCTGGCCTCGAATTTACAGAGATCCACCTGCCTCGGCTTCCCGAGTGCTAGGATTAAAGGCATGTGGTACCACCACCCACTTTAAACCCATTTTTTTTTATAATAATTTACTTTTAATTTTATGTGTATTGGTGTTTTGCCTATGTCTATGTGACAGTGTTGGATCCCCTGGAACTGAGTAACAGACAGTTATGAGCTGCCACGTGGGTGCTGGGAATTGAACCCAGGTCCTCTAGAAGAGCAGTCAGTGCTCTCTAGTCCTTAAATTCATATTTTTAACTCAATGTATAAGATCTGCTGTGCTCTGAAGACCTCTTCATGGCCTACCAATTAGGAAAAACCTATCTTCCTTTAAAGGGTCAAATGATGTTAAGTAACAAAGTAGTTTCTGGTAGACAATGCTTGTTATTTTAAAAACAAAACAAAATTGCATTTGCAATTTTTAAATCTGAATTCATGTGTGTGTGTTCGCACATACAGAGCATGTGTGGAAGTCAGAGAACCACTCTCCACTGGGAAATGTTGATTCTCTCCTTCCAGCATGTGGATCCCAGGCTACAAGTCAGGTGTGTGTTACCAATCACCTTAACAGATGAGCCTCTCATCAGCCCTTCTACAGACATTTTTAACCTTGAGCGTAAATGACCATCCAATATGTTCTAGATGTCTCAGGAAGAACATCTGTGAATGCCTCAACTCTGACTGTTCAGGGTTAGGTATTACATACCACACACACACAGGCACACACCCGTCAGTACAACTAAATGTTAATAAACTATACAGCCTACCTGTAGAAATTAATGTAGTTTCAGAAAAACAAACAAACAAACAAACAAAGAAACCACATTTTCCCATGTAGATGAATATTATTTTTAAATGAAGGTAGACAGCTTTCTCTGGAGCAACAAGCCTCAACATACTTGCTGAATTATCAGTAGGATGCAAATTAGTTGAGTTAAAATAAGCAAGGTATAACCATCAAAAGATACAATTTCCAAAAACTTCAAGCTAAATGGCTGAAATTTTTTCCTATGTGATTCAGCTCCAACTGTTAGACACGTCTGACTATGTGTAAACATGTCTTTTTGTGTGTGCTAAAACTGAAAGATACCAACAGGGATGCACCCTAACAACTTAGCCAATCCCTTTCATTTGTCCCATAAATTCATGAACACCTGCTAAACACCATGTATAAAAATTAATATGGATAGAGCAAGCCAGACATAGCCCTAGCTCTACAGTACTTACTTTTTCGTAAATGTAGACAAAAATTAACAGTGACAACTGGTAATATGCTATTGGGGCACAAAAGAAAAAGAAAATAACAGAAATGGCTCAACTCGGGTTAGTCAGGCAAGCCCTCTTGAGGATATTTAAACAAGGACTTTCATTTTGGATAGGGCTGACTTGGGACAGGAGGAAGAGCCTGTTGGAGAACCAGGAGGGAGCCTGAGTCCTAGATACATCTGGTGCGCAGGTAGCACAGGCTGTGTTGGGAAAAGCAGGCAGGGCAGGCAGATCACAGAGCCCCAGGCCTTTAGGTGTGCTTTAAAACACAAGGGGATGCTAACCGAGAGTAATGATACACACCTTTAATCCCAGCACTAGATGCAGAGATAAGGAGAGTCTATAAGTGTGGCAAGCCTGGTCTACATAGCAAGTTCCTGGCCATGCAAGGCTACATAGCCTCACAGTGAGATCTTGTCTCAAAAAATGAGTGAGCCGACTGTATTTCCAGGTCAGCCTTGTCCAGAGGGGCACAGTGCAAGCACAGGCCAGCCAGGAGGCTGCTGTCATTCTAGAGAGCGAGGGGGATGGGCAGCCCAAGGGACAGCTACAGGGTTGTCAAAGAGCAGTCAAAAGACAGTCGAAGATTGGGGATTTAGTTCAGGGGCAGAATGTGTGTTTATAGAGTGTAAGGCACTGGGTACAATTTCCCAGTGCAAGCATAGTAGTTAACTTTAAGTACAAGGGCTGAGGAAAAGGACTGTTCCAGGCCAACCTGGGCTACACAGTTACAAATTCCAAGCCAGCAGAGGTTATACAAGACTCTGTATCTGAATTGGGGGGGGGGGGGTATTGAGATTTAAGGTAGCTGTCACATTAATAATAAAAAAGCATAATTCTGAATAATGAACAGGCTGAAATTTAGCAATTAGAAAACTTCCTGCAATCTAACAACACAAC